AATAGCTCAAAGTTATTTTCTGTATTTCTGAAAATAATTAAAATCAACTGAAAAATGCTACCGAAGAACAGTGAAGATGATACAAGGTTGGTCAACCTCTTAGCAAGGTAGCCCTGCCACAAACACCATCAGATTTTTGAGAATAGACAAGCCTAGTAAATATTCAGCACACTGGCTAGTTACATGTTATCTCCTCTGGCAGGTTTTGGCTCAGGAATGGTGAACGGGAACATGTAACATCGTTCTGGAGTGGTGACATCTGGAGCCACAACTCTTTCAGCTTCTGAAACTGGCACAACTGAATCAAGAGGAACAAAGCTTATATTCAAGTCGAACTCGACGACCTCTTGTACTGTGACGGAAGGGTCCAATGTGGTCTGTGGAAGGCCTGGTTGTGCGGTAGGGTTGTTGGTTTGGTGCAGACTGTCTTGTCCCAGGGTGTTCAGCTCAATGGGTCGTAATGTCGGTTTCAGTACAGTGGCCTCCTCTGAAGAGCTCGACTCGTTTGATTGAGAGGATTCAGAACTGGATGCTGTCAACTGGTGATTCAGAGGGTTATGTATAGATAATCAACAGGTTCCAAATGCAAATAAAAATTAATTTGTAAAGCACTTAGTGAACAATAGTGCAGCAAAGTGCTGTACAGTCAGATGAAGAAAATATCATAAAAATGTAAATAAAAGAAAACTGAAAAATAAAAAAACCCAACTGCATTGTCATTATAAAGTAGCAAAGGCTTTATTAAATACATCTTTAGATGGGTTTTAAACATGTTTACAGTACTAAACTTTTTTTGTACCATACATTTCATTCAAGGTGCTAATTCAAAGTGTTTTACATGGACACAATAAATACAATAAAGTTTGGATTAACAATAAAAGAAACAGAAATTAAGGATACCTTTATAAATATTATTTATAACCTATAATCTAGTTCACTTACATAACCATGCTTAATTTGAGAATGCATAGTTTGAATGTAAATATTCAAATATATAATCTTCTTACCGGTTTAGAAACTCTGAATGACACTAAAAATATTCCAAACAGTGCTAGTCCCAAACCATCCATCTTTTGTTAAAATGTCTCTCCCTGTTAAGAGAATGAAAATTGTTCATCTTAATAATAAAAACAATCAATAATCGGCAATAAGATTACTAGTTAACATTACTAAAATAACACACGCTTAAAATCATATATGCTCTGGGTATGGAAGTATAAATTGGTAAAATATTACCCTGCTTGTTCAAACTCCTCAGAAGAATGCAAGAATATTCCAAGTTCGTCAGTCTTGCGCTGAAAGCAGAACAGAACCATGCATATTTATATACGACTTAATTATAAAATTTACGTTTGGTGTGAAATCTTTGATATGTTTATGTTCCTTTTCTCTGTAATTTCACATATGCAGTTTTAGACGGAAGTCAAACCGACACTGAAGAGATCATATGGTTACCAGAAAATGGACTTGTTAATTCCAGTAAACATGTTTTGTTTACCACGGGGTGGTTGGCTGAGCTTAATTGAAAGCACACCCAGGGGCTCAACCTATCGTTTGTTTTGAATCTAGTCATTGTGAACTCTTATGGGGAAGATGAATTCATCTAAAACCCTCAAATGTTTTTATAACAAAACACATTAATCATGCCAGTGGTGAAAACATGATCAGACCAGCCACAGTATGACAGAAACAGCCTACAGCAGAGATTCCAGTCAGAGCACAAAAACAGCAGGAAACTAGTCAAATCTTTATTTTTAAATCGACACAAAGCACACGAACTGGAAATAAAACCACAAACAGAAAACTGGAGATACTTTAAAGGTATAGTCAGGGGGTAGCTGTGATTTTGCCAAGAAAGACATGTTCCTGGATCAACATCTTTTGTTGTTGATCCTGGATCAACATAACTGTCCAAAAATATAGACTTAACCCAATCCCTACCCATTATTTATTTCTAAAATCTGTGAAATGATAGCTGATTAACAAGGGTGTAGAAGCACCTAACCCTGATTGTAAGCCTAAAACAGATATTTCCTGAAAAGTTATACCTCAATTCTGTTTGGTTGATAGGAATGTTGTTCCAGGATCAACAAGGATGTTGATCCAGGAACATGTTGTACTTGGTCAAATCACGGTCACCATAGTCAGGGCCGTCCTTTGGGCAGTGCAACTGGTGCGGTCGCACCGGGGCCCAAGACAGCGATCACGAACGGACCGAGGGGGCCCCGCTCCCTAACTCGCACCGGGCCCCGTGTCAGCCAAGGACGGCCCTGGGTATAGTCCACCCAAAAATGAGTATTTTGTCCGTTTACTGACCCTCAAGTCACTCCAAACCTCTATGATTTTCTTCTGTGGAACAGAAAAAGGCGGAAAAAAAAAGAAGATACTTTGGGGTGCAAACAGCACTGGACCCCACTGACTTCCTTTTATTTTGTGTGTGTGTTCTGCAGAAGAAAGTCAAACAAGTTTGGAACTATATGAAAGAGTAAATGATGAGAATTTTTTTGGGTGAACTATACCTTTAAATTAATTATAATACAATGCACAAATTATATAGACTTTATGGTGCTTTTTGTCATTTGTTGAATTTGATCACTATGTGATTGAATTGCATGAAAAAAACAAAAACAAACAAACAAAAAAAACAAACAAACAAAAAAAAAAAAAGAGTAGCAAAGTTTGTTCACACGAGGGCGAGTAATTTATTATTGTTTAAAATTTAATCTTTTTTGGTAAACCATCCAACAGTTTCAAAGTAAATGATTAGAAAGGAATTCTTTACAGCTTATTTCAGTAAAACAAATGTATTCATAAAGACCTGTTCACACCAGGAACATTAACTTCTTAATTCAGACTTTGTTTCTTGCAATTAAGAGGGGGAGGGGGGGGGTCAATTCTGACTTTTTACTTGCAATTCTGTTTACATCTCACAATTCTGAGTTTCTATCTTCACAAATCTGACTTTTTCCTTGTAGTTGCATGTTTTACATCTTACAGTTCTAAGAAAGTCAGAACTGTGAGGTATAAATAAATTGCAAGAACGTCGCAATAATTTAAATTCTGTGACAAGGGCAAATTGACATTTTTTGTGTAAATTCACAAACATTTAATGTGACCGCACATTTAGAACAGTTATTAAAAGTTTGTAGTTAAGATTATAGTAATCGTCCTTGGTGTGAATTGGCCTTAAAGGTCATGAAGTTTTATTTTTTACAGCGAGATTTGCCAAATGCCAATGTCCTTAATCTTTTCTGTCAGATTCAGTGATCCTTAGTGGGTCTGGAGCTTTTGGCCCATGGGTATTTTGAATGGGACTTGCGTTACCTGGCTGTCCTCGGATGCGGGGAGGAAAACACCTGGGACAATGGCGAAGGCTGGCTGAAGATTGTTGGACTCACCAGGTGAAAAAGGTCAGTCCCCACCCGTTGAGCTCCACTCCTTGGGGTCAACATAAATGAAAACTGGTAGCTGATCGTTGTTTAAATAGTCATCTCTGGGTGGAGGGCAGAGGTCACCACCAAATGGCACTGGTTGCACCATTGATGTTGTCCGGCGTTGCAGGGAGGTCACAGCAGGCCTGGGAATGGAAGGTCTGGTGTGATCACGAATGTACATTTCAGGAGTGAAATCATTGTTAAGGCCAGGCTGAAGGAAGGGAACATAGAACGGCTAAATATGCCCATATCCATAACCAAAACCCAGCTGACGTACGAGTCTTTCTCTCTGGATCAAAGAAAAAAAAAAAAAAAATGACAAAGTAATGAAAAACTGAAATATTTCATTACTTTGTGACAAAAATATAATTAAATTGACTAACTTTGTCATAATTAAATCTCATATGTATATAATTAAACAGGATCCATATATAATAATTCTGACTTTGTCAACTATAACTTAGTGTCAATTTTATTATAATTATGAAATAAATTATAACTTCAAATTCATAATCAAAATTAATGACCTAATTACATACAATATGAATAGCTAATGTCTTTATTATTAGTGAATAATTATTAAATAAAGTCACAATAGCTTTAGGACCAATTCTCACTATTAACTACTGTATGAGTTTGCCTCAAACTCCTAATTTGTTGCTTATTAATAGTAGTAATATAGTTAAGTTTAGGTATGGGGTAGAATTAAGGGATCTAAAATATGATTTATGCAGAATAAGGCATAAATATGTGCTTTATAAATACTACTAAAGAGCCAATATGCTAGTATTATGCATTCTAATAAGCAACTAAAGTTTTACCATTACTAACTTAAACGTTAGTTCAACTACATTTAAATGTAATTCAATTTTAAACTTATTGAATATTAAGTTACATAAAAAAATAATGTAATTAAATGCATTTAATCTAAATTTTAAATCAATTACATTTTATCTGTTGCGATTGTGAAACTCACCTTATGTAAAGGTGAACCCACTGGGAAGCCAAAGGTGATGCTTAAAAGGCCGGCAAAAATGATGAGATTCTTCATCCTACTTTAGAAAACTGATTTTAATGGACATATGTGTAAAAAAAAAAAAAAAAAAAAAAAAAAAAAAGAGTGTAACATTGGACAAATTATGAATTGTTACCTTGAGATGCCACAGACCTTCTCTAGTGTTGTACCTTCCTTTGTAGTCTTTAAATTGCATAAAATATGCATTAAACCTCTTTGTTGCATTATTGAGGTCATATTGTAGGTGGGGCCAAAGTTTTCCAAATAGCCACCTCTATTAACTTTCTTCCCAAATTTGTGTGGTCCAGAGCATAATTTCACAACAGGTTTCTTAAAAATTGACTTTAATCCTTCATTTTGACAGGTATACAATGTGGTGCTGTGGCGAAATCAATTTATGCAGTACTTATGTGATAAACCAAGATATCATCATTAATTTTTATATTATTTTGCCTTTAGACTAATTGAATAAGAACAGAATGATAGTTATGAAGCAGTTTGTTTACAGATGGTACAGAAAGTAACTGCACAAACTACACTGTGAATTTGACTTTTCAAAATGCAACATGACTTTATTTCAAAGAAACCAAGATGCTACAGCCGGAATGTTGAAGCTAGTCCACAGACGTTACCACATTTTCCTAAAGACAGAAAAAATAATTGTCAAATCAAGTTATTTCAAAACCTCATCAAGGATTTTCACAGCAAATATTAGACCATCTTTGCTAATGGGCACTTTTTAGTTCACCCAAAAATAAAGATTTTTTGAAAATTCACTCACCCTCAGGCCATCCAAGATGTAGATGAGATTTTTCTTCTTTAGAACAAATTTGGAGAAATGTAGCATTCCATCACTTGATCACCAGTGGATCCTCTGCAGTGAATGGGTGCCGTCAGAATAAGAGTCCAAACAGCTGATAAAAACATCACAATAATCCACACCACTCCAGTCCATCAGTTAACATCTGGTGAAGTGACAAGCGGCATGTTTGTAAGAAACAAATCCATTATTAATGTGTTTTAACTTTAAACCATTGATTATATTCAAAATATGAGTCCATAATCATGCTTCTTCCAGTGAAAAAGTCCACCGCCTGTTGTCCTCTTACATCAAAATTCACTGACATTTGTTAAAACTATTTTGAACCATTTTTGCGTGTAAACCTGCTTGATCTGTGCATATGCAACTTTTCACTTCACCAGATGTTAACTGATGGACTGGAGTGGTGTGGATTATTGTGATGTTTTTCATCAGCTGTTTGGACTCCCATTCTGACGGCACCCATTCACTGCAGAGCATCCATTGGTGAACAAGATGGAACGCTACATTTCTCCAAATCTGTTCCGATGAAGAAAAATGTGTCTTGGAAAGTCAATTTTCTGCAAGATTTCATTTTGGGTCAATTATTCCTTTAATAATCACCATTCTCTTATTTCATACCTCTGAGAATTCAGTGTCTTTTCCATTAGGTTTTGCTGAAGATGTTTCTCGTCTTGTCTCTATTTCCTTCATGCCCGTTTCCTGCACATCCACAGCCCGTGCTGCTTGCCTAAACACAAACACCGTTTAATCGTCATAAAAAGTTGGATATTAACCATCATAAGTAAATGAAAGTCATTACAGATTACGGTGTACCTCTGGTTTGTGGCTTTTTTCTTCTGAATGATGCCGACGGTGACCCCCATGACAACCACAGCGGCACACAGTCCAACTACTCCGTACAGAAGCGGTCCCTGTGAGAGCCCGCTCGAATGTTCCTGACAGTGCTCTCCACTGTAACCCGCCTCACAGATGCACACCGTCACTCCGTTCTGGGTTGTGCATTTACCGTTGCCGTTACACAGCGTAACGCCACACGCCTCAGACTCAATGTTCTCTGGTATGACATTATCACTCAAACCTGGACGAAACGCTTTAGGATTGATCCAGACATTTTGATGTTGTGTATCTTGAACACCTGAGAAGTCAAAAGAGAAGAACATGCCTATTATATGGATCCTGTTTAATCTTGTTGAATGAATCTAATGAAATCATGTCTGGGTCATTTTGTACTCAGGGGAATTATGTAGATATACAATTATAAAATAAAAATCATTGTGTGTTTTCATTGAATACAATTATTTAAATAAATTCGTGAATAAATACTTAAGACAAAATGAAGGTTAGTTGCATTGTGCTAAATGTAATTTCCAATTTTTCTCTTTGGATTCTGTATGTTTATGGGTGTTTATTTACTCTATAATATTTTTGTTGTATTACAGTAACAAGACCAAGCAAAAAAATTATAATTATCATAAAGAAACGTAATTCTCTAAGGTGTCCCAAAATAAAATTACGCCTATTTTTAGGACCATTAAGAATATTTGCATTATGCTAAATTACATTTTCCTATTTTATTATTTGATTTTGGATTAAAAATGGACCTGCGTATGTTCTTCACAGTGCAAATATACACCCCAATAACAGCTACCCACAACAGAATAATCCATGTTATTAGTAAAGCCAACTTATTCCTCCCTAAAACATTTTTTACATTTAAACCAGAAGGTTAGGATTTGACGTTTCCTCACAGTTCTCATCAGAATGATCTGGACAGTCGGCGACGCCGTTGCAGAACTGCTCCAGAGGTAGACAGGTGTCTTTACTCAGGCAAGGTTTGGTGCTTCCAGGGCAGCGGGGGTCCAGACTGCAGTCTCTGCCGTTGACCAGGTGGTGATTATGGGCACAGTGGCACGTCATTCCTCCAGGGAACGCAAGACAGAGGTGACTGCAGCCTCCATTACCATTAGAGCAGAGATTAGTGCCTGAAATATGAAATGGACTAATTAATGCTTCGTAATTTACATAAATGTGATATTGTAAATATTTCCTCACCTTTTTGTCTCGACTTTGCGAATGCTTTCAGACTGACGATGTCAGCGTCCACTTCAAACCACAGCTTCCCTGTATGCTCATCATCACTAAACCAACACTTAGTGGAGTCTAAACAACAATGGACAGATTATTAGGTAAAAATCTTAAAATGGTATGACCTGGTTTTTCCCCACAGAAGACCACAAAACGTCCCCATACAAAAGTACCTTTTTTAGTAATCCAAACAAGAACTTTAACCAAAGCAAATGCCATCAAGCCTTCCGTCTTTATTTCCTTGTATCCAGAACCATCTATGGCAACTGAACCAATTACTGCAAGACCTAGAGAAAAGATTATTAAACTAATATATATATATATATATATATAAATATAAATATATATA